TTGAGTTGGAGTCTCATTCTGTCGCCCAGACTGGAGTGCAGTGGCACACTCCCGGCCACCGCAACCTCGACCTGCTGGCTCCAGCGAACCTTCCGCTTCAGCCTTCCAAGTAGCTGGAACTACAGGCTAATTTTTTTATTTACTGTAGAGATGAGATCTCGCCAAGTTGCCCAGGTGGGTCTCAAACTCGTGGGTTCAGGCAATCCACTCACCTCAGCCTCCCAAAGTGCGGGATTACAGACTGAGTCACTGAGCCCAGCTTCGAGATGCTTTTTTCACGGCTCAAAACAGTTTTGGGGGCAACCCCCTGGGGTCCCCTCCCACCGTGAGAGCTTTCTGTCCTCTTAATAAGTCCTGCTTTCCAAAAAGAAAAACCAGTTTTTGAACTTGTCCATTTAGATGTCTTTTGGTGCTTCTGCCATTTTTTGTTTCACATCTTCCACATGGGCAAAACATTTCCCTTTGAGGGCCTTTTTCATCTGGAAAAAGAAAAAACGTTGCTTGGGGTGAGATAAGGTGAATAGGGAGGGTGGGGCATGGGAGTCGTGACACTTTTGATCAAAAACTGTTGAACACTTGTGCTGGCAAATCACCCATAATGAAATGGGCAAACATATTGAAAGAATCTCCAAAAACTAATCCACTGAAGCTGAACACAGCCTCTCACAACAATGCTAGCCGGTACAGTGATGCCGATGGGTTCCTAGAACGCACACTTAGCAGATAATGCCTATACTACAAGAAGTCCGCCCTCCAAAAGATAATCCTGGGATTTTGAGGGGTCCCCCTTCATGTGAATGAGCACATGTGGTACTCTGGAAAGCCCTGCCTGCGTGGAGTTGCAGAGGGATGAGCAAAGTCTTGGATAGGTGTGACTCCACGGTGGGACTTGCAGGTGTCTCATCTCTACTGCCTTGAAAGGAGAGCTTGCCAACAGACACGGGGAAGTTGAGGCTAGAAGAGTTGATGACATGCCTGAGGTGGCTGACCTGGGCAGTGTTGTCTCCAGTGCTTGCTCCTGCACTGAACTAGTTCTACTCCCCTCCCCCTTGCACCCCACTGCCTCTGCCTGGCTGGCTGAGAGACTTCAGGTGGGCGGGTCCTGGCTGCATCTCAGGGCCAAGCCAGCAGGATGGTGTCTGCCTGCGTGTGGAGTCTTAGCTCTTCCCACCCACTAGAGCTGATATGTGCCCATCCGTGGGCAGGGAGTGATGGAACCACAGAACCAGAAGACTTTTAACTTCATGTTGCCTCAGATGAGGAAATGAAGGCCGAGACCGGCTAAGCCACCTCCTCCGGAGTCACTCATGAATCGGTGGAGTCTCGGGGTGGGGACCTCAGGAGCGAGGTCTGGAGTGAGCGCCGCATGCTCACCCTCGTCAGATTAGCTGCTGTCCTCCCCGGTGACTACTGGTGGAGTCATGTCTGGGGCCAGGTCCTCAGGGAGGCATAGCAGAATTTGGAACCATCTGAGACTGGGGCTTCCGATGATTTCCTAATGTAACATTATCCAGAAAGCAGTGCTCAGCTGACCCTGGAGGAGGATAGAAAGGAGCACGGGAGGAACCCTGCTTGTCCGAGCAATGAACCAAGGGAGGGAGGAGATTGGCAAGAGGAAAATGGAGATGAATGGCAGGAAGTGGAAGGAAAACCACACTTGCTGGTTGTCAAAGTGTCGGGTCCTTGAAATGATTTGACAGGCAATTCCCCCGAGATCTTTTCTGGGGAAACGACTTCTATCACAAAAGGCTTCCTTCCTTCCTTCCTCTTTCTCTTTCTTTTATTCTCTCTCTTTCTTTCCCTTTCCTTCTCTCTTCTTTATTCATACATCCCTCCTCCTCTCCCTTCTTCCTTTCTTTCCCACTTTCCTTCTTTCTTTTGTTCTCTTTTTCATTCTGTTTCTTTTTCTTTCTCTTTTTCCTCCTTTTCTCCCTTTTTCTTTCTTTCTCTTTTCCTTTCTCACCCCATTTTCTCCTTTCTTCTTTTATTTTCTCTCTCCTGTCTCTCTTCCACAAAAGTGGACCCCAGGGCTCTTTAGGAAGTAGGCCCGGGGTGGACAGCAGAAGCCTTGGAAGCTGGGGCTGCAGAGGAAGTACTGTTCCCTGACCCAGTGCTGCAAATGTTGGCCTCCTGACTGACCAGGTTCGGGAACCAGCATCTCCCAGCCTACATCCCCTGCCCCTTTGCAGGTCTGCCTTCTCCCATGGGTGGTGGGGGGTATCTAGCATGAAGGGTGGTGAGGCAGCCAAAATGATGATATCCTTGGACCAGGTGTCTCTGTCAACTAAATGGGTACAGGAGCTCCCAGCCTGTAGCTCCCTGGGGTCGCTGTGAAGACTCTGTCTTTGATAAACCCAGGAGCCAATATTTGATACTTTGGAAAATGACTGATGTTTGCTAAGATCACCTCATCCCTGGGTGGAGGAAAGTCAGTTGTCCCCTTTGCTCCCGCAGCCACAGAAGCACCCACTGGCCTCAGGGCTTGTGCTGCTGGGGGCCTTGCCTTCCCTGTCCAGCTTCCTGCCACTGCCAGGCTAGGCACTGCCTCAGTTTTCTTAGGCTGCTCTTGAGGACTCTGAGCTGATACATCTATCCCAGAAATTCAGAAATAATTGATCAACAGTAAAGTCTGTCTTCCAGAGTGCCCTCTCTACCCCTTACCATTACAGCCGTTCAGCTGAGGACCATTCTAAGAGGAAAGTTTCTAACCGCCATCGGAACAAAAGCATCACAAAGAGGATGATCTGTCTG